CATATGAATGGTCTCCTGTGGCAAAATCCCACTTCTTCCTCTTCCAAATGTCTTCAGCTATATCCTAGCCCAGAGCTCTGTCCCTCATTTTACTCTCTTGCAAACTGCCAAACTCCTGGACTTTTCCAGTCCCTGAGCTGTGATGTGGGCATTCATTTTTTGGGAGTTGAGCATGTTCCTATGTGAAGTAACTGTTTCTTCCTGAGTGAGTTATGAGTATATCACCTGGTATAAAAAACTAATTTATTTAAATGTTGGTTTCATGCCAAATTGACACCATCTGGCTGTCTTATATGTTTGGTCTCTCAGTAACAGGAATCTCCTTTTTTTTTTTTAAATAGAATTCAATTGAAAAAAATTGATGTCGTAGCATTTTAAAGTGTTGGTGAGAACCTCTTTGACTCGTCTGGGATATGCTTCACTTGTAGTTTTTATTCTATACTGAAAGTTGAGACAATATGGTTTCCAAATAAAATAGAAACCTAACTTCTTGGTTTTGTTTATTTGACACCACTGAACACTAAGATGAAGTCTTGCAGGTACAGGTTGTACCTTCCTTAACCGGGACTCCTTGATCCGGCAGCAACTGTGGTCTAGCATGACCACAGATGTTCCTGGACCACAGAGCCCAGGAACTGGGAGATGTGGTGGCAGGACAGGAGTGCCATATGGGGTACCGGCAACTCAGCCAGGAGCCCAGTGTTGGAGGGGGGCAGCACAGTGGGGAGCTCTGACCCCAGTAACGGCTGGGGAGCTGCTGAATGGACACTCTCACATTTAAGCTATGATTACTATGGATGGAGTGGCCATCTGGGCACCTGTGCTTTCTCCTCTTTCCTTTTCTTTCAAAAGAACTCCCTCTTCCCCATCCACCCATGCCTTTTTTCGAAAGTTTCTTTGGAAAAAGGCTTCTTCCTTCTAGAAAGAGGTTTACCAATGCCGGAAGAACCCCTCTGTTCTTTCGATTTACTTTTGGAAGAATACAATTGCAATGTGGACATAACTCAGGTTTTGTCGGGAAAAGGCCGTTCTGTAGTAATGTAATGTAGGCATACCCTTAGGGGTGTTTACAACACCAATGGGCCTTTTGTGTTGACCAGGCCAAGTCGTAGGGAGAGCAGCAGCTTTCCCCAGTTAACCAGAGCTGGTAAGCATCACCTATCACATCCCTACCTCCTGGCACTCAGAGCATAGAATAGTGGAAAGTACATCTTTTTAAGCCAAATATTCTAGGATTTATGGAATTAACCTAAAATATTTCTGTTGTGTTGCAACATGCATATCTGGTCCTAGAAATATGTTTTTAAAAAATATTTCTAAACGAAGAATAAACAGTGCTAAATATGGTAATAACATTAAGCTAGGAAATTCCTTACAATTGTCAGTGTGCCTTGGAAACTTCATACATACTGGCGCATAACAATATTTATATCCATGAAAAGATCATCTCGTGCCAAATTATGCCTGCTTTTGATTTGCACTTTGTCCCTCTAGATTTACACATTGTCAAGGATTTTCTGAAATTATGAAATGCACAATGAATAAATTAGCATTTTAAACAGACTCCATGTGTTTTTCAATAAAATACATGTATGGTACAGTGATGGTACTTTTCTTACCTATCCGAGGTACCAGGCATTATGTGCTCATTTCAGTCATGTGATTTCTGATTTGTAGTTCTCTTGTTGGAAAATTATTTCAACTAGGTTTTGCCGCCCTGGTCTGGCATTTGAAATTTCTGTGTGTGTGTGTGTGTGTGTGTGTGTGTGTGTGTGGAGGGTGAGAGCTGTGGGAGGAGCTGGTGGCTGCTCCACCCCCACCCCCTATTATTTTGTGATCAGACTGGAGAGATTTTTACATCCCCCATCACAACCAAAGGATTCTCTTGTACTAATCAAAATAACTTCTGTTTGAGGACCACTGTAACTGTTAAACAACTCTGCAGTAGTCCATATTGTCCCTTATTGAAATTTGGACGGACAGTATTGAATCTGAGACGTACTGTATGAAAATGTTTGCCAGTATAGTGCTTTTAAAAATTGTTAATATTTTATATATCTAAACTTTTATAATCATAACTGAAAATGTAGTTGCACTTATTTTGTTTCAATGGATATCTGTGCCTTATCCCCCCCCCCTTTTATTTAAAAAAAAAAAAGGATTCTGTAATGATGCTTTAGTTTATTAGGTGACTGATATTAAATACATTGGGCTTTTTTATTATTGGTATTTCAAGAAACTTTAACATTTTCTTTTCACGCTGCTAAGGATTTTTAAATGGGGGTCAGGAATATTATTACACACCGGTTAATATTTTTTTTCAAAAGAACATTGTTTCTGATAGAACAAATTAAAAATGTATTTGCAATGAAAATTGTATACTCCATGTATACTATCAAATAGTGCTTAGATTGAAGTTGTGATTTGTTTTTTTCATTTTCATATACACTTGCAAGTCTGATGATTTGATAGTACAGAAGTTTACACATCTTATTTATTTAGCATGTGCATAGTTGTCAAGCGATGGCCTCTTCAGTGGCATGATGGCGTTCTTCTAGACCACTGCTGAACATAGTCAGTAGGCATTCATTGACAATAACTGATTCTAGCTCAAAACTGCTTGAATAAAATCGAGGTACAGTTGTGACGCAGCTACTATAGACTTAAATATACGCACGCAGTCACACTATATTATATTCATACAGCTATATACTTGTTGATCAAATATAAAAGTATAATTAGGCAGGCCAAAAAATGTAAAGTACAGGCAGTCCCCGGGTTACGTACAAGATAGGGACTGTAGGTTTGTTCTTAAGTTGAATTTGTACGTAAGTCGGAACTGGCGTCCAGATTCAGCCGCTGCTGAAACTGACCAGCGGCTGACTACAGGAAGCCTGAGGCAGAGTTTCTCTGCCCAGGGCTTCCTGGAATCAGCTGCTGATCAGTTTCAACAGCAGCTGAATCTGGATGCCTTCCGCGGGGCATCTGGGCGTCCCGCCGCTCGCATCCTCCGGGGCGAGAAAAGCCCCGTTCGTAACTGCGGATCCGACATAAATTGGATCCGCGTAACTCGGAGACTGCCTGTATAACCCGTAAGAAACTCAACAACTAACAGCCAACAAAGTACATTGGTAGGCTTCTGCTTCTAAATGGGCTATCTAAGGGGGACTAAAGAAGCAATCAAGGTAAAACCATTGTGAGGAAGCTAAATGAGTTCTCTACATTGGTCTTCATAGCAGAAGATGTTAGGAAGATTCCCACACCTGAGCCATTCTTTGTAGGTGATGGATCCAAGGAACTATCCCAGATTAAAGTATCAATAGAGGAGGTTTTGAAATAAATTGATGAACTGCAAATATGAAATTGCTGAACTACCAGTTGTGGTATGTAACCTACCACTTAAATCAGCCTCTATAGCCACAAGAACTTGGGCTTCATCATCAGTGTTCTTGGCCCAGGTCCTGATCCAAGACCTATGTAGAGCGATGATCCGGTTGTTGGTTCAGACCTTCTCTTTCCATTATGCCACTGCCCAGCAGGCCAGAGATGATGTCAAGTTCAGTGGAGCAGCGCTGCACTCCGCATGTGCAGGAACTCCATGCCCACTTCCTCAGCTACTACTTGTTAGTCACTTAACATGGAATGGACATGAGTAAATACGTGGAGGAAAATAGGTTAGCTACTGTTCTTTGAGATGTGTTGCTCATGTCCATTCCACAACCTACCCTCCTGCCCCTCTGTTATTTAACTGGTAAGAAGGAATTGACAGTGTGTGAGACCCAAGTGGGCCTTTTTTTACCAGTGCATGAGTGCACAGCACTAGGGGAAAAAATCCAGGGCATGAGGTGTAGACACACTTGATATGGAATGAGTATGAGTAATGTTAAGACTTTTGTCATGAATATTTTTAGAGAAATAGGTGACAGGCAATAAAGAAAAATTCACAAAGCCTGTGATCTATCTCTGACTCTTACTAAAAAAAAAAAAAAAAAAAAATGAAGAGCTCAGCTGCAGGGTCCACATGCCCTGCAGTGTCTCGGTAGCTCTGGAAGGGAGGGACGCTGTTGCCTGCAGCTCCCCTCACCTCAGGCAGTAGGACAACATTGCAGATCCTGGCAGTGGTGGAGTGAAGTCATGGAGGTCACTGGAAGCCATGGATTCCATGATCTCTGTGAAAAAATATAGCCTTAGATATGAGCATCACATTTCAAAGAACAGTTACAGAAAGGTGAGCAATTGTGGGTTTTTTTTCCCTCTGTCCCAGATATTGTCACCTTCTTTGTTCATCTTAACTGAGATTCTTTTCAGGCAAAAGAGCTTGTGATCTTGGTTTATAAAGGAGAGTTTTCCAGAGCAAAATAGATGATGAAAAACTTTTCTGCCAGAGCATATATGATGTCTATTTGACTCCGTCCATCCATCACTCACTCCTTCCTTCCAGAAGAAGTTTTGCAGACATAAAGCAAGATGAATAAAAAATGGTATTCTATCAAGATAACTGTCCTTTAGTGACCTCAACAAATTAGCCTTCAAATTTCTTCTTTACAACACACAGACATAAGGAAATATCTGGCTCAAGTGCTAGTTATGGACAGCACATTGAGGCGCGTGCTCCCTTTGAAGGAATTAACCTGATTTACTAGAAACTCTGTGGAGGATCAGATATGCCGTTCTATCTTACATAGACCAATGAGAGGCAAATTGCATTGGGAGTGCTGGGAACTAGGTACCTCTTTCTTGCCTTAGACAAGAAAATCCGGTTAGTTAGAAAAACCTAGAAGTTGTAGGTCTGACTGAGCAATTGATTTTGTTTTTCAAAGACAGACTTACAGATTAAGAAAATTAATCAATGTTGTCTTGAAGTAGTGCTCATTTACCATATGAACAAATCAATTTTATATGAATGTACTGGAACTAGGAGAAAAATATAAGCAACACAGAAAATATTTGCATATTTTTTACCCTAGGTATATTAATAAAGTTTCATCTTTACTTGACAGTGCAACGAACACCCCTGAAGATGATGTTACAAATCGATATTCCCGAGCAGACAGAACAGGATATAGCAGATACAGCAGGGAAGCAAATTCTTCTGGAAATTCTGTATCAAGCAGTGCTCTGGAAAAGAGGATTGAAGAACTTGAAAGGGTAACTATAAATTTAACTTATGTCCTACGTTAGCTTAAAAATAAAATCTTATAAATACCATGAGGAGATGCTAATGGTTTGCTAGGTCAAGTAGAGATTGATGAGCCTGTTAACAGCCTTGACTAAGAGATATGAGTCTTTTAGCTCAGGCTGTAGAGGGTCATTCATGAAACTCAAGAGACCCTAGGTTTAATCACTCAAGACGTCGATGACTGGTGGTCAGTATACAAAAATAAGAGGTAATGGGTCTCAGTATTTAATAAAAAGTAGTGATAATGTGTATGCATATTTGTATTCAGAATCAGATTGTCTGTGAAAAATCTGATATATGCTAAATTGCTGTTTGCTCAACAAGGGAGTAATACCAGAGCTAGCTGTAATTTGATCCGAGCACTGATTATCTCCTGTTCTCTTGTCAGGCATTGAAACATAAACTAATCCCTTGAAGATATTTTCCTGAGCATTTGTATCATATTTCTGATGTCCCATGTTCTCTGTGAAGGGATCCTTGTAATATACCCTACCAAATACTTTTCAATACTTTTAGATGAAAGTTGCTAAATAAAGATATTGTTTTTGGGAGATCTTTCTTCTAGAAAGGATGGGAGTAAAACTTTATATATTTGTTTAAAAATTACAGAATCCTTGAGTTAACTGAAATTGCTTTGTAATCACTCCCTTCCAAAATTGGCTTCTTCCCAAATAAGTCTAACTACAAGAAAGATGGGAAGAAAGGGAAATGTTTTAATAGTTTTTTCAGTAACTGAAGCTTCATATATGACACATGTTTCCTACATCTTGGTATTCAGGCCCACAGGTTCTAGAATAGGTCTTCAGGCAGTTTTAGTCAAGGAGGCCAAGTAGCCCTTGGTCATATATTGTAGCTAAATTCTGCCTCTGAAAAGCGCTCTGTACTACTTTAGGGGTTGACACATCAATTTTCATATCTGATTTGGGCCCTGTTTCATAACCCATTATAGGATCAGGGCTAAAGTTAGAAATTAATCAGTTAAAAGGTCAGCTTTGGCGGTCATCACTCTAGTAGGCTCTTTAGGGGCAAAATTTTACCCCAGATCTCTGACTAACAGGCCTACTTGGCCTCCTGGACTTATAAGGGCTTGAAGACCCATTGCAGGATTTGTTAGCCTGGCTATCTGGGGGAAAAAAAAGAAATTTCAGGTAAGAAGCAAAATGTTCCTAAGTAAGATATGCGAGAGCTGTCCCTTTTCAACTTAATTTTTAAGGGTGCTGGAAGAACATTAAGTTTGAGACTTAATTTGTGTCTTTCGCAGGAACTAGCCAAGGAGAGGCAAGAAAATGTAAGATTATTGAGGATGACACAGGACAAAGAGGATCAAATTGGGAAATTGAAGGAAGAAATTGATTTATTAAACAGAGTAAGTACATGTATTACAGAAGGATGAGAAAAGCTTTCAGTTGTCCTATCTCTTCTCTTTGCCCCCACCCTCTCTCTAAATTTTCCAGGCCAAGGTAAGGAGGGAATTAGGTATTTATTTGTGCTTAACTTTTCAGCTAAGATTTAATAGACTTATTTCTTCAAGTGGCACCTACTCATTCCCACTAATGTGCCAGGGTTACATCAGTACCAGAAGAAATGTCTAGAAGCCTCTAGAGTCTAAATGCCACTAGAGTCCCTGCATATCCCTCTTGCTGTTCTGAAAATTCTGAGAAGCTATAAAAATGGGGAGAGCAGGGCTTAACCACCTTAGTTACCTCCAATCACAATAATGAGGCTCCTGGTCCTTTCTGTTTGACTTTGACCCAGTTCACTGGGAACTTCGGTCTCCCAATACTTTTCTTAGGCAGATGTATTGTATTTTCAATAAGATTTTAGTTTAGGTTTTTAATAATATTTTGCACCTTTAGGGATCTTTTCATCCTAACGCACATTCCCATACTCATGAGGGTATATCTCAAAGCTGAGAGACTACTGTTCAAGAGGTGTCCCTTTCCACTCAGCACCTTTCTGGGTTCAGATACCCAGAGACTGTCCAATTTTTCGGAGAGTAATGTAAGCTCTTAGCTACGTCAGTCTGTCTGCAAGACTTTCACCCCACAAGCTAGGAAGGAGCTATAGAACTGGCTGTAGGCAGTCTTCCGACTAGAGTCTCTAATAGGAAAGATGTTTGCTTCAGATGTTTGATGAACTTCTGCTATCTTTTAAAAGAAGGGAGAATAATTATGTAAAGGTCCTAGTAGAGATATCTGAAGACATTAAAGTATTTGTCATAGTTGAACTTTGAATAATTTAGAGTTGGTCATGTGTGACTTTGCTGAATAGTCATTGTAGTTATATGTGTGTTTGGAGCGAATATATTCAGAGAATATTTGCAATCTGATACTTTAATCAGTTGTTCAGTCACCTGTCATTTTGTTATCTGAAGTCTGCACTTCTCTGCCATTTTTAAATAATAATTTTAATTTAAGAATGTATTTTTTTTATTAAAGAACTTTAAGTTCTTAAGTGCCAAGTCACCTACATGTAGGCATCCATTATTTCTTTAGATATTTGAACTATAATCAGTAGTTATTACTGGATTGTTTTCAAAGAGCTCGTACTTACAGTAATCCTTGGAATGTTATTTCTGTACTATAAACATTCCACAACGTTTTTTTGAGTAAATCTCAAGTATTTTTGTTTGATGGCTTTTGAACCATTGTTTCAATATAATTCAGTCATCTACCATTTAGTTACAATATATAATTGGAGGCAGCAGCAAAATTAAGCATAAAATTATAAATACCAGAAGCTGCTCTTCAACCATTTTATTGAAAAGGTTTACATTATTCTTTACAGCTGTTTGTTCTCAGTACATATGTTGCTGTCTTGGCCTCTACAATAGAAAAAGCAATGTCTCTGGTGGTTAATTAAAATAATGTGCTTTTTTTACCTATTAATACAAATGAATATTTTTATCCTAATACATGCATAATTAAATGTTTGGTTCATGTGTGTCTTCAGAACAAATAAGTATCAACTGTTCCAGAAAGCCAGCTGTATAGTATTTAGATGTCAAAAAGTTGATATTTTTGTTAGGCATGTAACACATTCTGCTAATCTTTAATGTATGCTACATAGTACTCAAAGCCACACTTAAGTACCTTTGCTTTGCCTGACAAAGCTGTTTTGGTTGGCTGGCGCTTTTTTACTGATAGCACACCTAAGCACAGGGGTGAGCAAAATACTGCCCAGAGGCTGAATCTGGCCTGCCAAGCCACCAAATATGGCCTGCCAGCCCCTTTAAGCAGTGTCTGGGGGCATCACAGACTGGGAGCCTGCCATTGGCACACCACTTACTCCCATAATCCAGCTTTCTGCCCCGGTCACAAACCCTCTGCACCCTTGTCACAATCCTTTCCCAGTCCCTGCACCACCTCCTGTGCCCCTCTGCCAGGTCAGAATTGTCTACTGCACCCATAACCACTCCAAGACACTGTCCCCTCTTCTGCACCCGAGTATCCTACTCTAGGTCCCAACACCCTCCTTTACCCAAACTCCCTCCAGTCTCCACACCACCTCTTGCATCCCAGTTCCCTACCTTCAGATGCCTTCTGCACCTAACCTCTGCCCTTGATCCTGCACCCACTTCATTAATATCATGAACGGGCGTAGCCTTTGACCACTTACCAAATTCTTTGAGTGTCCCACCATCAAAAATTACTTCCCTTCCCTGCTAAAGTACCTACTCCCAGAAACAAAAGAAACAGGCTAATTCATATATAATCAGGGCTCGACAAATAATGCAATCTACTCGCCCATGGCGAGTAGATTGCAACCCAGAAGAACCGGATTCGGGCGATCTGTGCATGTGCAGATCGCCGGACAGCGCAGCTGGCGAGCAGGGCTTGCTGCGGTTTGGCAAGCCCTGTATATAATCATTTTGTAAGTATATGTTTTAAGACTTTGGAAATGGAGTGGATTATCTGTAACCACCTTTTTATCTCTCCTTCCATCTGTTATAATTATTGCAAGGATTTTATATGCTTTCATTGTAAGGGAAACAGAAACCTCTGATCATCTCTGGTTTTTCTCCTCTGAACTTCCACCATCTACCTCTTTTTCTCTCTCACCAAGTAACTTTGCTGGCTTTCCCCTTCTCCTTCCACTTCTCTTTTCCTTTGTCCTACAGTAAAAATTGAATTGGAAAAACACCCTAGGTACTGGTGACTCTAGCAGCTGGGCTGCTTTTCAGTTCAACTTGAGTGCAGGAGGAGATGCAAGGGAGTAATAAGAGGCAAGCTGGGGAGAGAGACGGAAGAATGATAGGCAGAGTATTGGGGTAAGAAGGAAGGAAGGGTGGAAACAGAGAAAGTGGTTATTTCAAACTGCTCCTTCTGTGAACCCTGCTGTTCTCTGATTCCCTTAAACTCACCTTCTGCTCAAAAAAAAGGAATTCTAATTGATTTTCATGCCATCTAGCTTCAATCAGAATGCCAAAGAGGACAAGATATGGATTTTCAACTATTTTTTTCTAATAGAAGATGAGAATTTAAAGTGTTGAGTAAAAATACTTTTCATAAGCCTCTGACAACAGATGAATTTAAGAAAAATGTAAAATTTAATGTGCTTCTCTATGCTCATAAGCTGTATGTGGCTACACAGTACTAGCTCACTGTTGTGAGCAAAAGCACCAATAGCCAAGGACCCTGCGTTTCACAAATGTAAAGTAACACAAAAAAATGCCCCCGAAAGCATAAAGGGGGGCCCTCATCCCATATTGGCAGTTCCTATGGCTCTTGTCCCATGGGGCTGGGCCCAGCTTCTCACTGTAGGCCAGTGTTTCCCAATTGGTGCTCCGGGGAACCCTGGGGTTCCCCGGAAGCGAAACTAGGGGTTCCGCGAGGAGCCGGTACTCCCCCGCCCCCTCTGAAAGAGAGAGGGAGCTGGCTAGCAAGCAGAGGCATGGGCGGCGAGTTGTATGGGCTCATGGTGCCCATGCTCCACCAATATTTGGAGCAGGAGAGGAGCAGCCCCCTCCACCACCATGCGTCATCCCACCCCGACCCAGAGCATCTCTCCCCCAGCCCCGTACCTGGCCCGTCCCTGCTGTGCGCAACCTTCACTGTGCTCCCCCTTGCCGGCTGCTGCTGCCCTGCACGGTGTGTTCAAACCGGTGGGCGGGGAGACGCCTGGGCGTGACGTAACGTCACGGCCCAGGATTTTAAAACTGCTGGGCGCTGCGTTGCGCCGCACAGCTGAGTTGTGGGTTTGGAGTCCGGGGACGGAGCGCAGACTCCAGCCCCGCAAAGTGGAAGGCAGAAGGTAGGGGAAGGGCTGGGAGAGGAAGGGGCTTGTGGACTAGATGATCATAATGGTCCCTTCTGACCTACTGGGAGAAGGTCTGAAAGAAGGGGTAGGCATGAGGAAGGCCGGGATGAAGCAAGTCATGTGTGAGGGCACAGAGGGGCATGAGAGGAATGAGGGCAGAGGATGGTGAGGGGGTGGGCATCGAGGAAAAAGAGGGCAAAGGAGGTAGGGGCAGTGAGAGAAGGGGGAGGCACCAGGAGGGTGCAGGAGTAAGAGAAGATGCAAGTGCCAGGGGATTCTGGTGGTGAAGCAGAAGGGCAGACACCTGCAGGGGAGGGACCAGCACCAGAGGAGAGACGCAGGGCAGGTTTGTAGAGAGAGGTGTTAGAAGAGGGGATGAGGAGGGTAGCTCACATGGGGCTACT